AGAAGGAAGGAAGGGGGGGGGGAGGGAGGAAGGAAGGGAGGAAGGAAAGGAAGGAAGCAAGCCTGCCCACAGTTTTCTGATTCATGAATATAAACCATTTCCCACTCCATTTGACTCTTCTTTAATTTCTCCATCATTTTTGTAGTTTGCAGTATATAAGTCTTACAAAGCTTTTGTTAAATGTATCCCTAAGTATTTCATATTTTAAAATCTTATTATGATTGTAATTATTTAACGTTTTGAATTTCTGATTATTTATGGTGTACAAAAGAATATTTTTCTGTTGGTCTTGTACATGTTCTGTTACCTCACAAAAAGGACTTGTTTCAGGAGGTTTTTTGGTAGCTTCTTTAGAATTTTACATCTAACTGATTATATTATTGACAAATATAGTTTTACTTCTTCCTTTCCAATCTGGTTGTGTTTTGTTTCTTTCTTTTTTTTCCCCCTAATTACACCGGCTAGAGCTTTTCGTACAATATTAAATAGAAGTGGTGAAAGCAGATATTGTTTCCTTGTATCTGCTTTTAGGGGGAAAGCATTTAGTCTTTTACCAAGTATCATGTAGATTTTTATGTAGATGCCCTTTATCAAGGTGAAAAACGTTTCTCCTATTCCTGTCAGAGAATTTTTATCATTAAAGGATAATGGCATTTGTCAAAAGCTTTTTCTGCAACTCCTTAGATGATTAGATGGTTCTCCTGTTGATTGTGTTAATATGATGAATTGCATTAATTGATTCTGTCATGTTAGAATTAATGTTTAGAATATGAAATCAACATTGCTGAGACAAACTCCACTTAGCCAGAATGTATTTTTTTTTTATATATTTCTCTCATTTTGCTGAAATTTTAGTAAGATTTTTTGCATCTATATTCTTGAGAGATATTTGCCTTTAGTTCAGTTTTATTGTAGTGCCTTTTTCTGGGTTTGGTATTAGGGTGATTCTAGGTTTATTGGTGAGTAGGGAGGTGTTCCCACCTCTTCAGTTTTCTGTGATTTTGAAAGGCATTGATGTTATTTCAATCTGAAATATTGGGTGGCATTAACCAATGACACCATCATTGTGGGAAAGATTATAACCTCAAATCAATTTCTGAAATAGGCACCGAGTCAACCAGGTTATCTAATACTTCTTGAAAGAGCTTTGTTTGTTTATTTCAAGGAATTTGTCCATTTCATTTAAATTTTTGAATTTATTGCTATAATGTTAGTTACAGTCTCTCTTTTTTCCTTATAGTCTCTTATTGTCTGTGAGCTCTGTAGTGACATCATTTCTTTCATTCCAAACATTTAAAATTTGTGCTTTCTCTCTTTTGTTTTCATGATCAGTCTGGCTACAGGTTTGTTTATTATATTGATCTTTCCAAAGAACCGGCTCTTGGTTTCCTTGATTTTTTTTTCTGATTTCTATTTCATTTACTTCCACTCTTATCTTTATTCCCTCCTTATTCTATTTACTTTGTGTTTAACTTCCTCTTCTCTTTCTAGTTTGGTAAGTTAGAAACTTTGCTCATTGATTTGAGACTTTCTTCTTTCATAAGGTAGACATTTAGCGCTATAAAATTCCCTTTTTAGCTCTGTCCTACACATTTGGATAGGTTGTTTTCATTTTCATTCAGTGAATCTTTTTATATATGGTTAGAAAGCCTTAGATACGAATTAGCAATTCTGTGAGATTTCACCTTTCATGGTCTTAATACCCTGCTTCACTTTTTCATTTTACACTTACTTTTCCAAATAATAATCTGGATGCATTTAAAAAAAAATACCCTGTTTCCATTTTAGAATAAGAACAGAAGTGAAAAGATAAATATTGAGACAGTTATGTAAAGCCACCTTTTAAGGATGAGATTTGTCTCAATAAGGAAAGCTAATTCTTAGCCTTCTTTCAGGGAAAAATACCATGAGTTGCTAGAATTCCTTGAAATATGCCTTTAAGTCGATTTCCTTTTGGAGTAGTTCAGATGGCTAGCGTTTGATCAAAAATTGCAACTGAGCTCAAATACTCAGTATTGCATTTGTTTATGGCTTTGTAATTACCAATTTACCCCATTTGTTTTGTACCTGAGACGTGCCTTGGGCAGCTATATTATTGGCTATCTTTTATTTTAGTGATGAGGGGAATGGAGCTCAGAGACATCAAGTGATTTGCCCAAGTTCACATAATTTCTAAGTGACGGAGTTAGAATTCAACGCAAGTTCTTTGGCTCCAAACCTTATGATTTTTTGCTCTACATGAGTGGTTCTTAAAATAGGATCTGCTATCAGCAGCATGAGCGTCTCTTGGGGAACTTAGTAGAGATTCAGCTTCTCTCCCCTCCCGACTTACTGCATCAGAGATCCTGAGGGTGGGACCCAGTGTGTGGGTCACCCCTGCGCCTCAACCCTGGGTGATTTTGATGCACACTTGGGTTTGAGAACCTCTGCTTCATACCCTGGTTCTTAATCATGATGACAAAAAGAAATCACATGGCTGCTTGTATCCTCCCAGCCTGAGTGATGGGAGCTGCCAAAAATTCCCAGGTGATTCTAATATGCAGCCAATGTTAACAACCACTGCTCTTCAGCAAGGTGCCTCTCTCTATTAATGTGACTCAGAATGCTTTTGGATGAATGTACTGTGTTCCAATGAGTGTATTTCTTTCCAGATCATAACAGTCAATGCCTGCTGTCAAAATGACCAATTAAATCCAGGGCCAGGAGAAAATAATATCTCAGAAGAAGAGGAGTGCAACAAGAACTGGCTTACTGTGTCCACATTTAGTGAGATAAGTATGTAACAGTCAGCATTCCTAGATCCCCAAAACCCCTGGTGGAATTTTCTTGGGGTATGCTCTTTAGACGGTTGGTTGGTTGTCTCTGCTTGTCATTTCACATGGAAATGAGGGAAAGAGATGGTGGGAACACTCTAAGGAAAATAGCTCCTTTCTTTTTTGAATTTTTAAGAACAAAATTTCATTTGTTTAAAGGAATCCAGAAAAGAGAGATTAAGCTTTAGTAGTCTGTTATATTCAAAGCTGTTGAACCTCAGAGTTCCACAGGGCATTGATTTAGCCAGAATTACAGGGTGGGGGATTGTCCAATTATATAGATTCTTATAGTACATGTGGGCACTGGTGGGGTTAGGATTAGAGTTTGGACCATACATAGAATTCAGTGGATCAAGTAAAACTTGTTTTTTTACTACTGCTGACATGTCATGTGTATTCTGTGGGCAAGTATCCTATAAGGATATAAGTACAATTAATGGTGTTGTAGGGGAAAGAAGACAGATCAACCAGCTAGGTGTGAAAACTATGAACTAGTCACGGAATATGAAATAAGTGAGGCTAGAGCATGAACATAAAGGAAAGTGATGATAAGAACTTCAGATTTCTTGCATTAGATCAGAGACCTTTGTAAATTTTTAAACGGATAGGATTATGTGATTAAGGAATCATAAAGATTTAAAATTATTTAAAATACTAAATTTAAGGTACTAATAGAAATTGCTACCATGTTTCTTTAAAATCCTGCTTGCCCCATATGGCATGTGATTGTCAACTAAGGAGTGATTTTTGTCCTCCACCCCCATCCCGCACCCGCCCTCCTCATGCGACATTTGCAACCTCGAGATATTTTTGTTGTCACATCTAAAGTGGGCGGGAAGTGCTCTTGGCATCTAGTGAGTAGAAGCCAGAGATGCTGCTGAACTTCCTACCATGCGTGGGTCAGCCCCCCATGACGAGGAGTTATCCAGCTCAAAATGTCAATGCTAAGATGGGGAAATTCTGGTTTAAGTTTAAAAAATATTCAATTGTCTGTTAAACCACTGAGAATCAAGTAGACTCAAAACTGATTGGAAAACATTAGAAATTAAATTGTTGGGAATCCTCTCAATTTATAGATATGGTTCAAGAGCTTACTTGTCTTGCCTTAAATCACACAGTTTACTAGAGACCATAGATTTGAGTAGACCAAATCCTACACCTAAAAACATGATTCTAGGACCAATTACAAATATGTTCATTTTACTTATAAATGTCATGTTTTGCAGGGAACAGGCTGTGAGGTGGCAGGGCCCCTACAGCCTGGGAAATGCTCAGGAAGTGACCCCCAACCACTTCTCCTTTAACCACATTGTTTTCACTTGCCAGAAGTCACATAGCCCAGGCATACTTTCCTTATTATTGGCAAGCACACAATTTTTCCTCTTTAAGGTTGATATCTACCCCATGTGCCAAGATTTATGCAATCTTGTTAAGATACTGTATAAATAAAGCTGTTTCCAGAGTTCAGATGTTGTCTGCAGCCATCAGCTGCATCAGACCTTCCGATCCCATCCTATCTCTTGTCTCTGTGCATTTCATTCTCATGTGCGTTTGGGTCTTTTGTGTCCCTCTTCTTCACTTCCCACCATTTCCACTTCTTGCATTGCATTTCACTTTCCTTGCATTGGTTCATGAGAACGTATTTATATTATCTATGTCTCATGTATCCTATTTTTTATAACTAGAATAATTTGGGTTTAGACAATTCTATATCATTCTTACTTCAATTAGTAAGTTCTTTCCAATGAATTTCAAACAGAGAAAGAGTCAAGTGGCAGGAGGTTTCTGGGAAAGAATAACAATGAGTATTATTATCAGAATTAATCCAACCAAGTATTTATTTAATAGTTATTATGTACCTACTATATGCAGTAGGTACCAGGTAGAGAAAATAGCGAGAGTGATCCTCATCATTCTTTTAAAGAAAAGGCTACAAATTAAACCTGTTTGATGATATTCCTTTCCATCTTTCCTTTGTTGTTCCTTTTAAGTAGCCTACTATGAGGCTTGAGGCAGTTGCTAGGGAAGGAGTTCTAACAATTTGGAGCAAAAATTTTACATGTTTTTAAATAAAACATGGGCTGTAGTGTATAGGAGAAGGTGAATATAAAAACCTGACTAAAGGTGTTGTTTTAGAGGAGGACAGATTATGGATCATTTAATTCTTGACTTTGGTAGAGAAGTATAAGTTGTTATAAATGTAAAAATAGGGAAGAATAGAAATAGAATATATCACTTCCAACCTCCCAAAGGGGGGGGGGGAAAGGATAAGGAAACTTGATAAAACTTGCTAAAAACAGAAAGAGAAAACTATATCCAAGTTTAAATGAATGTACTGGTGTTCGGATTTTTCTATTTGGGAACTGTGATTTGAATGTAACACATTTTCATGTATTTTCTAATCTTTTCTTCCTTTTTACAAGGTCTAGAACATTATTTATGTCAGAAAATGAAAACTAGAGAAATTGAACAACGTGCTATGCAAGTCAGTGATTACCTAAAGCAGTCTCAAGAGGTAAAAATATTTTGATAGATTGTTTTCTTTTTAATTCAAGCATGCAATGCTTTTCTTGGCTTTTATGGTCCTTAATTGACTTCTGATTTTTATCAGCCTTCGATTTAATCTTTGTTTTGAAGCTATGTTCTGTTGGATCCCTGCTCAGTTCCTTTTTAGTGCCCCCACATTCTTTTTTCCTTTTTGTTCTTTGTGCAATTTACCTTTCCACCCAATAATTTATTGTGGGGATGGTCAGCATGAGAGAGAAAGGATTCAGAAATTTTTGCAACTGTTTTCAAATCACAAAAGTTGCATAGAAGGAAAAATAAGATATTTTCTATATACTTTTAAGACGTAGATCTAGAATCAACATGTAGACTCTATGGGGAGACAGATTTCAGCCCAATCTGAGGAGAAATTTTTAGCAATTGGAGCTTTCCAAGCATGGAATGGTTTATTTCTGGAGGGCATGAGTCCCTTGCTAGTGAGCTTAGTCAAGTATAGTCTGAACAAACCTCTTTGCAGACATGACAGAGAGGATGCGAGCACTACAGGGGGAATGACCCTCTGTGTTTCTCCATTGCTGAGATTCTCTGATTCTGCTGTCTGTTTTTCTTAGCGTGTGCAAATATGTGCCTTGTTTTAGTGTCACTCACCCTGTGGGGAGTGTGACTAGTTAGAGGAACTCTTTATCTATTTGAACTTGGGAGTGTCTACTAACAATCCTACATGCTCTTTTAGGAATGGTGTATGTGACAGGTTTTGAGAAGAAAATACAGGATGATTTGAGGGTAATTGGAGGGAGGGACCTGTGCTTAATTAAATCTTGGCTCTGCCCCGTCCTATGTTCCAACGCTATATGCATCAACTCACATATAAGCTTCATTAGCTGTATTCACTAAAATGGGGCTAATGCCATCCCGAAGAGATGACTGACAGGGGACAACAAAAGTAACCTGTATGAAGATGTCTAGAGTAATACCTACCCTGTTCTGGTTCTTAAGAAATGTTATTTGAATTTAAATAGGAAATAGAACAAGTCAAATTCAAGGTGATATTATTTTAAATAATCATCACCTCAAACAATAATCCAATCACAGGATGTAATGACAGGATGATCTCTGTTGTCCATCACTTTACCCCTTCATTCTTTATGTGCCATTAACTAATTTTGTATGTGTAGTCTCGTTTCTGTAAAACCTTTCTTATATTACATTTTCTCTCTGATGTTCTCATAAAGGTAATTGCGTTCTGTTAAAAGTCCATCAACACATCAAGGTACTGTGTTGACGTTACGTATCTTTCTAGCTTAGGGTTAGTGTGTTTATCAATAGACAAACAGGGAAAGGGAAAAAAATATCCTCCAAGGAGTGTGTTTTGTAAACACATTACTGGAAAATTGGAGTGGGTATAGGTCGGGTCCACATTTAATGGTCTTTCTGTCCTGCTCAGGATTTGAGTGAAACTTCTTTGTGGAGTTCCAGGAGCACTGACCCCAGGAGAAAATCCCTGTGAGTATTTCCAAATGTCTCTCATTACTAGTCTTTGGCTTCTACTTTTTTATCTTGATTAGGAATAAAGATTTAATTCGGTCAGAAAAGGAGTAAAAACAAAACAAAACAAAACACATGTCATATAACAATATTTTGTTAGCAAGAATGACAATACTTCCTTCTCTGGAGTTTTTCTGTTTCTGACAGTGAGGTATCACCTGACTGCCTTTTAATAATATAATGAAATATGTACTTCCACAGCAAATTAAACATTTTCCTTTACAGTTAAAGAACCACACACAGAATAATGATTATCGTATCTTTTGGGATAGATAAGATTGTGAATTTGCATCGAAGAGTAGAAATATATCTGTTTTGCCTGAAGGAATGGATTGAACACCTGATTATGTTTATTCCCTAGTTTTACAAATTCTTTTCTCATTTCCCCCCCTTTTAGCTTATGAGGCTGATCTTTCTTATTTTTGGTTTCTCAGTAACATCCTAATAAAAATACTGAGACAGAAAGAGAAAGGAAGAGAGGATGCAGAGAGAGAGAACATAGAGAATTCACATGTTTGTATATTTGAGCATCCTGGAATTTTATTTATTCAGAGAAATAAAATTTGAAAACCAACTGAGCAAAGATTGTTCCATTTGGTTTATAGTATTTTCTGGACTTTTCTAGTGTTTTATGGATTCTTCTAGTTACATCAACAAATTAACCATATAACTGTCAGGGACCGAATTTAGAACCATCTACTTAGGGCCAGTTGGTACTGGGCAGGTAGACAGCAACTTTCAGTTTGCGGTCAGCTCTGAAGGTGGCCTTTCCCTGGAGTTTTCATGGTCTCCATGCAAGCCTGCCTCCAGACTTAAAGGACACATGACTTTCTTCTCCCCAAGGTTTAGTAGTTAGTGCTCACGCAGGGTAGTGGTTTATTGCAGCATGAAATTAAACAATAATTGTAATTGTACTTTCTTCCCTAAGGACCTTCAGTAGTGGAGATATTCTTTGAATGCATTTATTCAGACTTGCCTGTGGCCACTTGTGCACTTGAGCAGGGCAAGTAACAATTTAAAAAGAGCTAATTTCAGCCTGTGAACATTTAGGGGCCACGTGGGCTAATGAAACTGATTTGTAGGCTTGTCCAGAGACATTCATAGACTCATTTGTAGGCATCTTCTTTGCATAGTTCAGGAACCTGTTAGTTTAATTGATCCAGAAGAACACAAACATTAAATTTTATATATGTTGTGTGATCACGTAGCTAATTAAACACCACATAACTGCTTTTCAGTTAGCTTAGGGCGTACACAGTAAATGACATACATATCTGGTGCTCATTTTTCTATGAAAATAATTGTAGGGTTGTAAACTTCTCTACTGATAAAGATAGAGATCGGATGAAATCTTTTAAATACTTACTTTTAAATACTTACTTTTAAATACGTATATACGATCATGTGTCTGTTAACAACAGGGATACTTTCTCAGAAATGTGTCGTTAGGAGATTTCATCACTGCGTGATCATCATGGAGGGCGCTTATGTAAACCTAGATAACATAGCCTCCTACCCACCTAGGCTATATAGTATAGTCCATTTCTCCAGGCTACAAACCTGTATAGCATGTTACTGTGCTGAATACTGTAGGCGACTGGAACATAGTAAGTATTTGTGTACATCTAAATATAGGAAAGGTACAGTAAAAATAGGGTACAAAAAACCAAAAGTGGTGCATTTGTGTAGGGCGCGTACCATGAATGGAGGTTGCAGAACTGGGAGTTGCTCTGGGTGAGTCAGCCAGTGAGGGGCAGGTGAAGTAAAGGCCTAGGATATTACTGTATGTAGCTGTAGACTTTATAAACACTGGACACTGAGGCTACACTCAATTTATAAAAGCATGTTTTCTTTCTTCAATAATAAATTAATCTTAGCTTGCTGTGACATGTTTTACTTTATTAGTTTTAGCCCTTTGACTCTTTCGCACTAACACTTAAAACACAAACCCGTTGTACAGCTCTATAAAAATACTTTCTATCAATTCTTAACTTTTTTACTTTTTAAGATTTTTTGTTAAGAACTATGGTACCCACACATTAGCCGAGGCCTACACAGGGTCAGCAGCAGCATCAGTGTCGCTGCATCCACCTTCCCATCTTGTCCCGCTGCAAGGTCTTCAGGGTCAGTAACATGCACGGGGCTGTGATATCTCCGGTGATAACAGGACCTTCTTCTGGAATTTCTCCTGAGGGATTTGCTTGAGGTGGTCTTACAGTTAACTTTTGCTATTTTTAATAAGTAGAAGTACACCCTAAAATAAGGATTAAAAGTAAAGTAAATGCATAAACCAATAAGTCAATTATTATTATTACCAAGTATTATGCACTGTGCATGATTGTATGTTCTGGACTTCATGTGACTAGGAGCGAATAGGTTTCTTTATACCAGCATCTCCACAGACACATGACCACTACAGTGTGTTATGAGGTTGTGATGGCTGACATATCACTAGGCATAGGAATTTTTCAGCTCTATTTTGTTCTTATGAGGCCATTGTCATATGTACAGTCTTTTGTTAATTGAAATATCATTATGGGGTAAATGACTGTATTTATATTTTATTTATATAGATAGTACATATATAAGGTTACTGTTTCAAATGCTTTTTTTTTTTTCTTGATCGTTGGAAGATTTAAAACAGCATTATCTAAATATCTTCATTTTTCCAAATAGGTTGAGAAGTTCAAATGGAATTGACAGTAAGTTTTTATATTTAAGTATTTCTTTTTTTAGTCTTATTAATGGTAAGGTCACTGTCTTGAGTCTTTAGAAGCTCTTGAAATCATATTTATGATTTCTGTCTACTTGAAAGGAAAGTAGAACCGTGAATATCTATTAGACAAATCAAGATTGATTTTTGGAATGACCTGTTTTGATTGCGATTTTCCCATTTTCTCTGTGAGTGAGGTATAATCACTGAGATCATGTCAATTATTGAACAGCTGTGTCACTTTTTTACATATTGCTCTTTAAGAATCATTCATAAGATTATGGAGAGACACATTTTCCTGGATGGTTTCAGTATAACCCCATGCCCCAAACAGCTAAATAGGACTAGGTCACCTGAACGGCTGTCTGGTAAAGACACTCTTTATAGCTATTCTCAAAAGTTTGCCACAGTCTCTCAGCTCCTTTCCATATTCTTTTATTTTTTTGAGACAGAGTCTCACTTTGTCACCCTTAGTAGAGTGCCATGGCGTCATAGCTCCTAGCAACCTCAGACTGTTGTGATGAAGTGATTCTCTTTCCTCAGCCTCCCAAGTATCTGGAACTACAGGCATCCACTACAACACTCAGCTATTTTTAGAGACAGGGTCTCGCTCTGGCTCTGGCTCAGGCTGGTCTCAAACTTGTGAGCTCAAGCAATTTACCTGGAGTACTAGGATTACAGGTGTGAGCCACGGTTCCTGGCCGCTTTTCCAAATTCTTGATGTGGAGTGGGCACCTTCCTCTTCAATACTCTTGTTTAATCTCGCCTTCTCGAGTTTTCAGTACCTCCTTTGTTGTTGATTTCTTTTCCTCAACCTACTAACAAATTTAAGTCACCTTCTATATGAAATAAAAAATAGTCCTTTTTTTGATTTACATAGCTGTCAAACTGCCACTTCTATCCTTCATCTCCAAATTAATTGAAAAAGTGATAACATTTGATCTTCAGCCTGTCTCACTGTCACTTTTGAAACTCCCAACTGCTAAGTCACATGACCTCTATTTAGTCTTTAATGAACTTGGGGCGTTTGATGTTGACCCTTTATTCCTGTTGGGAACTCCCTCCTTTCTGTTTCCTTGAGGCCATGCTTCTCTTGCTGTCCCATTTTTTTGTTGACTTATTTTTGGTTTTTCCTATAGACTCTTTTTCTTTCACCCCAGCTAGAAATATTAGTCGTTTGCAATCTTCTTCCCATTCCATTGCTCTTAGCTATCAGTCTTGCTTTCTAACTCCATTCTACCTCCCGCTGGCGTCTTTAAAGTTATCTGTGTTTAATCTTACTGCTCCTGCTTTAAAACTGCCCACATTTATTTTCCTAAATAAAAGCTGTATACTTTCATTTTCCTTTGAGTTTGTGTTAGCATTCTGGTTGATTTCTTTACCTTTGAACTTTCCTGTGTTTCTATTAGATTTATCTTTCTGAATGATAAATCATCATTTTTATAAAAGCCTTCAATGGTTCCCTGTTGCCTAAGGATAGACTGCAAATCCTGATTTTTTTTTTTTCAGTACTCTTGACAGCCTGATTCTAGTTCAAATTTCCAAGCTTGTATTCGTGATCTCTTTCATTTGTTACTTCTGCCTTGCAGAATATGACCAACTACTTATTACCACCTCCCTGCAGAGATCTAAAAAGCATCTCAAACAAAGCCAACATCCTCCTCCTTTATCTCAGGAAATGGCAACTCCAACCTTCCAGTTTCTGAGACTAAAGTCTTACAGTCATACTTGTCCCCCTATTTTTCACATTCCCGTGTCTCATCCATCACTAAATCCTTCAAAATATATCAAGAATCTGATCACTTCGCTACTCCCACGTAACACCATATTTCAAGTTACCGTCATCTCTTCCTTGGATTACACACAGTATGGGCTCCAAACTGTTGCTCTCTAACAGTCTAGTTCCAGAAAGTAGCTGGAATAATCCTTTTCTGAAAGTTGAACGAAGTCACTCTTTGCTCAAATCACATTCCATCTCACTTTATAAAACCAAGTCCAAACACAGCCCGCAGGCCCTGTACTGCTTCCCAGCAACCCTCCAAGCTCATTCAGTGTGCTACATTCTGGCCACATTCTCCTCCTTAAACGAGGTGGGCATGGCTCTGCCTCAGGGTGTTTGCACTTGCTGTTACCTCTGCTCAGAAAACTTGTCATTTATTCATGTAGCTCACCTCCTCTCTTCCTTCAGTCCGCTCACACTTCACGTTATCAGAGAGGCCTTGCCTAACCACCCTATCTATATAAAATAGCAACTTCCCCATTCTCTACACTTCTAATCCTCTTTCCTTGTTGCATATAACACACACATACTATGCTATATATACTACCCATTTATTTGTTTATTTATTTTCTATTTACCTTTACTAGAATATACCCAGAGACTTCATTTTGATTATTGCTCTTTCTCTTGAGTGTAGACTAATAATGCCCAGAATATAGTAGATGCTTAATAAATATGTGTTGAATAAATATAAATGAGATCTCATAGCTCCTTAAGTGATAAAACCAGATTGAAATTTAGCTTTATCAGACTCAGATGACCGTACCCTTTAAGTATCTTATACTGTTTATGAAAGTCGTACCTTTCAGGTAGAATTAATATGCTCCATAAACCTCTTTACATAGCTCTATTACATACATTACTTAGAAAGCTATATTGTGATTATATTTATAAGTCTTTTATAGTATGTTATATTTGCTTTTTAAGTAGCACATCTTACATCTCTCATGCCTAGCATGACAGACAGTAGGAGCTAAACACTTTTTATTGAGTGAATTCAGAAAGGAAGAGTCTTTTCTGCTGACATTCCTTTTTACTAGTCTCCCCCGCAGGAAATGATTCTTGTTCCTTTCCTTATCCAGCAACAAGAAGCTGGAGAGAGCTGTGCGATTGGGCTCATTATGCTGCTTATTCTACTAGGTATTAAGCAGTTGCCACCATGAGACAAAAGTTCACCACTTTAATTTTGATTTTATGAAATACCAAAACTGTTGCAAAGGATTTCTCTGGAGCTCTGTAATTTAGGACAGGTGCAGATAGAAGAGAATGAGTTAAACTTGGAGGAGGTATTCCCAACACAGTCTTTGTGTAACCAATGAAATCCCTTGGTGCGGTATTATCCACCCCCTCTGTTTCGGGTTATAGCTCTTAATAGGTTTTCATCATTTTGTTGTTATTTTAGCTCAGTGAAGTAGTCTGCTTATAACTTGGTATTAATAATGCCTTCCTATGGGTTCTGCATCTTGGTAGGGAGCTCAGAGAATCATGCTTCTGAGATGTCGTGGAGTGTGATGGGCAGCTTCGTGCCTTCTGCAACCCAGAGGTGTAATTGGTTCAGAGGAAATGCATCTTTGAGGCTAATATTACCTGTCTTTCTTCAATTCCCTATATAAATATGTTTGGAGATATTACATTGATGATTGGAAGCTGTCAGGATACCAGGCACAGTAATGTGGTTAAAAGATATTAGGCAAGCTTTTTCGAATACTGAGAAGCCATTCTGATTAACCTGTTCAATAATAACTTTGAAGGCAATATATTCATAAGCATGTATTTATCTCCAGCCAAGTAATTAAAATGCCAATCTTCTCTATAATTTCAGAGATCTCAGCCTCCTTAAAAAGCCCTCAAGAGCCTCACCATCATTACTCAGGTAGGATGCATGCACACATGAACACGTCCGCTGAGTTCAGTGTCTGTGATTCTGCATTTGGAAACAGAAACATTGATGAATTCTGTATTATGTGTGTGGCTCCCAGCTTGAAAAGTTGGTGATCACTCTGATGGGGAAAACAATCAGATTTCTTCCTTTGCCCCTGAGTTGGGAAAACAATTTTGCAGGATTTAAGAAAATTTAGATTTTTAAACAATAAAAAAAAAAATTTGGATTTTTAAAAAATGTTTATCTCGGCGAGTTCCAAATGGTGAACGTGAAAGATGACCTGGAGATCTAAAAATTCCTGTGAGTGCAAAGCCGCCCAAAGCCGCAGATTTCAGTGATTTTGTACTGGGGAAAAAAACAGACCTGAAATGAGCTGTACGGGAGGGTTTTGTACCCTCCCTTGGCCTTCAGTGGATATGCCCACTGAATGAATGCCAAACCCACAGAGTAAGTTCAACAAAGATGTTATTAAACAAAGATGTCAAGGGTCTTGACTCTCTTCAGCAGCGTCACTTCACAGTGCTTCAGTTGTCTTTTTGCAGAGTGGGAATAATTATACTTGCCCTGCCTGAGGAACGGCCTGCCAGAGGGCTGGTTGAGAATTAAGAGGAAAGCACTTTGAAATGCACAGCAATATAAAACCAGCTGGACTTGTGCCATTAGGTGTTTCCTTGGTTGGGGGGGGGGATGCTCTCAGCCTTGGATGAGATAATACACGGGCAAGGCTTTTATACTATGTAAACTTGGTACATGTGTAAGAGCTTGCTGGCGCTATAATTACTGTTATAATCACATCAAGGTTATTTTGTATGAGATAATACTGTTATAATCACATCAAGGTTATTATGTATGAGATAATACACGGGCAAGGCTTTTATACTATGTAAAACTTGGTACATGTGTAAGAGCTTGCTGGCGCTATAATTACTGTTATAATCACATCAAGGTTATTTTTTGGAGGGCCAGTAATAGATGGCCTTCTCCCAAATTCTCTATAGTGAACAGTGTCTCGGAGGATCCCAGACTCCTCGTTCCGCCCTCTTACAATTCGGTTTTTCAGCTCAACACTCATCTCTTATTTTGACTCTGCTTGTCAACTTAAGAAAGTCTCTGGGGTGAGGAATATACTGCACCTTATATTGACTCAGCTGTGTTAGGATATGGCTCATCACAGGAAAATGCAAATCACTTGTTGTATTAATAAAATTGGTCTTCGGCGCTCAGTGGGGGAAAAAGGGCGAACTGCGCAAAGTGAACAGTAGGTGTCTCCACAGTCCACTGTGCATTGGATTTGCGTTGGAAAAGGAAAACCAGAGAATGAAGACCGGAGATTAAAATGCCATTTAAAAGAAAGTCCCACATATGTACGAATTAGTTTATGGTTTGGTATTCCGGAGAGTGGAGGTGATAGCTGTACCTCAGACTGTGGGCTATAATCTCATATAAAATGTTTCTAAGACTGAGAAAGCCTTCCTGTTTACGGTATCGTTTATTTAAAAAATGGTATTCTAGTTAATATTTTTGATAATGGCAAAAAAAAGGGGTCTTGGAAATTAAATATTTTCAACATTATCTGAATGTATTGATGTGGAGAGTCTTTCTGTAAACCCAAGCCACTGACGCATACTTGAAATAGGAAATCTGTTTTTGTTTGCAGCCATTGAAAGGAATAATTTAATGAGGCTGTCTCAGACCATCCCCTTCACACCAATCCAACTGTTTGGTGAGTAGCATTTCCACCTTCTTGAGGCCCTGTCGGGGCAGATGCACTTGAGTGAATCAAAGGAGAAACACGTTGCATCATTTTATAAGAGGTGAAAATTTTGTTTTGCTGATGGTTGTGGTTTCGTGATATTCATTTCCTGAAATGAATGCTGTGGTTAACTGCCACAGCCAGCATTTAGGGTCAAAATCTAACACCATGGGAGGGGGCGGGGAACCTCTGATGAGCAGCAGCTGGGAAGAAAGCAGTAAGATGCACCTGGCATTCAGGGACTCGAGGCTGGAAGTAAGTGGGAGAGAAAAGAACCACCCAACCATGTCCAATAAGCACAGAAAAAGTGATCAGTGTCAATACAGTGAAAGCCAACAGGCCTCTGACGAGAAACGCTTTGTGTATTGTTTTTTGTTTGTTTTGTTTCATCTATACTAATTGCTCTTACCTCAGATGGCAAATGTCATTTTTAAAGGCTGTAGGAGTAAAGAAAAACAAGCTCACGTGAGCCAAGGTTACCAACATTTCTTAGGATAGGGCTCCAGACAACTGAATGTAACAAGAGTCCCCACATTGTCCTTGACCTTGGTCCTTCTCATACTGTTCACATATAGGACAGACCCAGGTTGGTATTTGATGGTTAATGCCTTTTCCTTCCACTTGGCTTCATGGCTGGATTTGCAAATCAATAGTTCTGCTCCAAATCCTTTATGCAGTGGTTCTCAGCCTGTGGGTCACGACCCCCAGGAACTGTATCAAAGGGCTGCAGCATTAGGAAGGTTGAGAACCACTGCTCTAGGGGTTTAGAATACCACAGAGATCTAAAGTGGCATTTATTTGTTTGGGCACCAAGAATAAATATTTGAAATATGTTACTAAGCATTACCTAGATGTGTTTATTGATAAGGAATTAGGTGAAGAATGAGGGAATAGATGTCTTTCTTGGTAAACCAGCACAGTGTTCACCCACAAAACTCATTTGAAGCAAAGGTATAAGAAGGAAATAGAACACAGGCTTGATAGATTAGATTATGTTGCCTGTGTTATAAGTGTTTAACCTTGTATTGGTAGAATCTAGGCTCAATAAGAATTGCTCTTGAGCAGTGCCTGTGTCTCAAGGAGTAGGGTGCCGGCCTCATATACCAGAGGTGGCAGGTTCAAACCTGGCCCCAGCCAAAAACTGCAAAAAACAGTTCAAAGTAGAAGTTATATATCAGTTCAATAGGCATTTTGTGTCTAAAATTCTTTAAATGGGTTTGAGTTTGCATCTGAGATTATCTTTTGCTTTTGCCATGTTAAACTATTTAATCTTTATAAAAACCTCATGAAGTGGACATTATTTTCATCCCCATTTTTCTGAGAAGAAAATTGAGGCTTTACGTAACGTATCCCCAGGTGTGAAGGAAAGCGAGAGGGTCTCTGGAGGTGAGCTTGGTATCAATTCCAGCTGGGTAAAACATGCATTCTCAGTGGAATGAGATCAACCCCATGGGAACCAAAAAAGCCCCTTTTGTTTTCTTTTTTAGGAATAGATTACAGGTCGCATATACTTAAGGAGAAATACAGTAATTTTTAATACAGGATAAGCTTTCCTAATCCAAACATTAAATCTCCCGAATTCTCCAACATCTGAAACATTTTGAGCACTAACATGTTGCCACAAGTTGAAAATTCCACTTCTGACCTCATGTGACAGGTTTCAGTCAAAACACAGTCAAGATATGGTTAAAACTTTGATTCATGGGCTCAGTGCCTATAGCTTAATGGCTAGGGCACCAGCCATGTACACGGGAGCTGGCGGGTTTGAATCCAGCCTGGGCTTCCCAAACAGCAAAGACAATTATAACCAAAAATTAGCTGGGTGTTGTGGCAAACACCTGTAATCCCAGCTACTTGGGAGGCTGAGACAAGAGAATTGCTTAAGCCCAAGAGTTTGAGGTTGCTGTGAACTGTGATGCCACAGTGCTCTACCAAGGGCCACATAGTGAGACTCTGTCTCAAAACAACAACAACAACAACTTTGATTCATGAGCAAAGTTATTTAAAATATTGTATAAAATTACCCCTAGGTTATGTGTCTAAGATATATAGGAAATATAAATAGTGTTTTTAGACTTGGGTCATATTTCTAAGACATCTTACTAAGTATATGTAAATATTCCAGAAATCTGAAAAAAATCTGAAATTTGAAGCACTTCTGGCCCCAAGCATTTTGGATAAGGTGTACCCAACTTGTGTTAATATGTTGTGGGAAGAGCAATTAGAAAAAAATGCCTAATATGGCTCCTTAGGGGTGTTGATAGTGACCAACAATGCAAGGTTGAACTGACTCTCGGAGTATTTGTTTTTAACAAAAGATACGTATCCTCGCCACGTCGATTTTGTTTTGTCCAGTTATAGTTGCAAGAGTGTTCAGCCTGAGGCCTGTGGGACACTCTTTATATGTTGTGTCAGATACTATGACAAGTATGCATGGGCTGTTTTTTATTAATCAGCTTTTGTTGGTGTTTGTGTATTTACTGTGGCTCAAGATAACTCTTTTTTTTTTCTGAGACACAGTTTCACTATGTCATCCTCAGTAGAGTGCTATGGCGTCACAGCTCACAGTAACCTCAAACTCTTGGGCTTAAGCGATTCTCTTGTCTCAGCCTCCCAAGTAGCTGGGACTACAGGCACCTGCCACAATGCCCAGTTCTTTTTTGTTGAGGTTGTCATCATTGTTTAGCTGGCTGGGGCCAGGTTTGAATCTGCCAGCCTCAGTGTCTGTGACTGGCTTCATAACCACTGTGCTATGGGTGCTGAGCCCCAAGATAGCTTTTATTTTTCAATGAGCAGCAGGAAAGAAAAAAATGTTGGGCACCCTGACTACAGTAAGAACAACTTAATTCTTGTGTATCCTCTGGCAATTGACCTCTTCCACTTCCTTACATTTACTAGACAATAAATAACATGGAAACTTGGTCAGATCCTTCTCCTTATTCTGCTCTAGTCCCTGCTAGTTCCAACCTCCTCTGATTATCTGGGCAACTGAATGGATTCTGCCACTAGTATGGGGGATGTTATTTGTGTTATAGACATGCTGATCCCTTTGAACCCTTCGCCTTCATTTCTCTTTGTAGGAGGAGAAGAAATAACTCTCTACAGGCTGGAGGAGAGTTCCCCTTTGAATCTTGATAAAAGCATGTCCTCTTGGTCCCAGCGTGGGAGAGCTGCAATGATCCAGGTGTTGTCTCAAGAGGAGATGGATGGAGGTCTCCGTAAAGCTATGAGAGTCATCAGTACTTGGTCTGAGGGTGACATTCTCAAGCCAGGCCAGGTATTCATTGTGAAGTCCTTTCTCCCTGAGGTTGTGAAGACATGGCATAAAATCTTTCGGGAGAGCACTGTGCTTCATCTTTGCCTCAGGGTGAGTCTGATACTCAGAGGCCCACAGTCCAGTGGGACAGGTCAAAGAAAGGAGATCTGGCTACATCATTGTCTAAGGCCACTAACTCCAACTCAAAGGGGAGCCCATTATTTCATAGAGGTAGTAGGTTTTGTTTTTTTCACTTTGTACGGCTTTTGCTTTTGGGGTGGGGAGCGGTGGGAGTTGAACAAGGCTAAAAATCACATTTGGGCAGCTTCAAGTACTTTCACAATCATAGGCATGAGATAGTAAGGCAGTATTTTTATTAATGTTCCCTATTTTTAGGAAATTCAACAACAAAGAGCGGCTCAGAAGCTTATCTACACCTTCAACCAGGTGAAACCACAAACCATTCCCTACACACCACGGTAAGGAGATATTGGCATCCTGCCCCTTCATTTTAGTAGGGATTTCTATCAATCTCTTTTCAGCCCATTAGTCATAAGAAATCAGACCCATGGGGAAGTTCCCTATGACATTATTTCTGGGGTTTTCCTTCTATAATTTTGGAGACTGGTAAAAGGAGAATTAAATGTTCTAGGGATACCTTAATTTAAATCACTAAACTTGGTAAAAGAATTCAAAAGGAGGCCATAGCTACCATTTAAATCATGTGAAATAGATCCTGAATGTAGTTTCCAATGTCCAGAAGTAGCATGGCAGAAAAATGTTTCTTCTTTAAGTATAGTTTCTTCCCCTCAGTATCTTACAGAAATTAGGAACTTTGTAAGAGTGAACTCTTTTTACTTTCATTTGAGGGTCTCCATACACTTGTGTTCACTTATTGAGACAAATCATAATTTGGTGCCGAGGACTTGTAGTAAAGCCATATTGTTTCATTTACAAGGAACTTTATAAAGCATAGCAAGAAAAGTTGGGTCCTTTACTCATATAAAAGAGAAGTGAGGTGGATTAATGTGAGCAAACACTCTTGATCCTTGCATCTGATCTTTCCATAAAAAAGGCAAGGGTATTCAGCCTGCATCAGACTAGCATTAGGTAATCTTTCCTGCTACTGACTGTTCAGAAAGATAAATCCCCTTTTACTGCCTTTTGTGGGATCAACGGCCTCTTTTCTTTCTGGCAGGTTCTTAGAAGTTTTCTTAATCTACTGCCATTCAGCCAACCAATGGTTGACTATTGAGAAGTATATGACAGGGGAGTTCCGGAAGTACAACAACAACAACGGTGACGAAATCACCCCCAGCAGCACCCTGGAGGAGCTGATGTTGGCTTTCTCTCACTGGACCTATGAGTATACTCGCGGAGAGCTTTTGGTGTTAGATTTGCAAGGTGATTGATGATGTAGACTTGGTACAACAAGCATGAGGCCAAGTGTAAAGAAATCTTATAAGAACCAGGATGGGCAACATACGGAGTTGCTCTATCTAGTTTTGAAGGGATGTGGGAACATTTATTTCAGATTCATTGTACAGTGATGACTAGGGTACCTACTATGTTGTTTTTCACTGAGATAGAGTGGAAATCGTAAGCAGGTGATTATCCATTTAAAATTTAAAGACATCTGAAATTTTGAAGTGGGAGAATATTTTTTGTACCGTATTTTTCAATTTTATGGTTTTACCTTGGTTTTATATTTATAATAAGGCTGAGGTATGCATTCAACACATATAGGAAAGTTTAAATTCTGGGCATCTTTCATGGTTTTAAACTTTAAAGTTGCTTTAGCAATTTATAGTTTAGCTTGCTCTCTTTGCTGTGTCCCTTGACATAACAGTTCAAGAATGTCCACACTGAGTCTGAGAGAGGCAACACGGTGCCCTCTTATTTAAGGGAAGCTTTTGATCAGCCCATCTCTCTACTGTCAACACCTCACATGTGACTTATAATCCTACAGCACAAAACAGAGTAACTCCAGCAGGCTTTCCTTGCAGGGCCACAAAGTATTAAGGCCAAAGTTTAGTCCTTGGGCTCACTGACTGAGCTTTTGGTTTTAAATAAGAATTTAGTGCAGGAACTTTCATAGAAGTTATCTTATTTAATCCCAGCAGCACCTTGAGTAGCTATTATGGGGAATCTGGGCCCACATAGTTTAAATAACTAGCCCAAGGTTGCCCAGCTGCTTGAGAGGGAAGCAGGATGCAGATTTAAGCAGATTTAGGCATCCATGTTCTTTTCCTTTCACTGTACTATCTATTATTTCCTCAAGAGTTTCATACCTAGAGGATACAACCATCTTATGGTTATTTTAAGCAACTTGGGCCTTTTTTATTTTGTCCTCTCTGTCTTTCTTGACTCTCCAGTTCTGGGATTCAGGTTTGGAGGCTGGGGAAAGTCCAGATAAACAGACAGTCCTGGGGCATCATGAGCAATGTCCAGTAAGACTGCAAAGTCATTTTGATCAAAATTTAAGTAAGTCACCTGCTCAAGGATGTATACATACTTTCTAAATTACATATAAGTATTTCTGTCCTTTGAGAGATTTCTGCTGCTCACAGCACTGAATTTTATTTCTAACCCTTAAGCACAATATTTTCGGAAGCAATATAAACAAAGTTAAAATGACTAAGATGATTCAGCTTTTCAACCAGCAAGTACTTGATCTGTATAAACCCAGAGCATCAATGCCCAAGGCATCTGTTTTTGTAGCTCATGTTGGGGGAAAGATTGATTGTTTTCATCTGTACTTGACTGTTTGTGCTTTGAGCTTTGGGTGGAGTTGTTTAGAAAGGAAAAACAGACAGAGGAAAAAAAAAAAACAACCAAAGAAAAACTTTAAGGAATTAATGATGACTCTTCAGTGTGTTTTGTATTCCACTTGAATAGGTTTTTGTTTAATGATGTTTATGTTTGGGGATTTTTATGTCTCTTAGTAATCCAAAGTGACATTAAACAGAACAAATGCTGCATTGATAGTCTTGGGGGGAAAAAGGAATTAACTTTATTCTTTTACTGGGCAATTATGTGAATTGCAGAAATAGGCCACTCCAAATAAACTATGTCAAAACATTGACCTTCAAAGAAGGGAAGAGTGGATGGACATCATAGAATGTGCGTAATGAAATTTAAGAAACTTATCGGAGAGTGTTGACCAGTTGAGCAGGCCTGAATTTGTGGAAGAACGTGAATTCTATAATAGCAATTATAACCAGTTCTACTATTATTAGGTAACATTTACTAAGTACTTATTCTGTGCCAGCCACTTGACTAAAGGCTTATGTGTGTTATTATATTTAATCCAAACCAGGTGGGAAAGAAAAAAATAGGGAAAATATGATGTACTATGTATTTTTGAAAGTCTCTTAGTGGTTTTTGGTTCAGTTTTGTATCGCATTTAATTTATTTATATCTCTAGTCTTTGGAGAGGTGATGTGCTTTGCCTGGGTGGTGGGAGTGGAGGAGGCTGAGAGGCTCAGGAGCGGCAGTTAGGAGGCTTTGCAGTTGCAGTGCTGGGTCTCTGACTCCAGCTCCACCAGGAATTAGGAGCATGATTCTTGGAGAGAGCATCTTGAGTTCTTTTTCCCTTGTTTGAAAGTGGGGAAAACAGTATTATGCACTTAAGCCATAGAGTTTTTACGGGGCTGAAATGAGACGAGTTCCTTACCTGTAGCCATCCATCGATGTTAGTATTAATCTTTGTGTGCCTCTTTAAAACGGAGGTTGATAGTCAGTTGTGGGGAGTCTACCCTCAGCTCTGTGATCCTAGTGGTATTGCAGGGCGACTCCAGCTTTAGCCTCTGTGAAATGAGGCCCTGATCAGAGTGCTATGGCTCCCTACTGCTCTCAGGGAGAGAAGGACCAAGAAGTAACTTTATCCTTTCACTTTTTTCTTTCCTTCTCCTTTCTGCTTTCTTCCATGGGAGTGACAGTCATTAACCCAGAAGCTGCCACACCAGGCTGGGAAGCTGTACTCTGAGAGGCATGACCAATTTGCAATCACTTGTAATTACACTGAAGTTTTCTGGTCTCTTTCTACTTAAAAATTCTATGCGTGAGGGCCCCCGAATCATCATCATTATGTTTAAAATCCAACATTTAATTCCCAGCAATGGAAATTATTTAATAAAAATAATTGTAGTCCAAATTATAGTGGTTCGCAGCAATTTTTTTAGCTCATTATTTTTCAAAGAACTTTTGGAGATATTAATTCTTTATTCAACAAAATAGTTTCCAGAATGATTCAGCATTAGCATCAACATCATGAATTCTGCTGCTACAAAGAAGGTAGCTTCTTCCCACAGATGTTGATGTACCCACAGGTGCTTGGGATCAGAATGTAAATCTGTGAGTTTCATGTAAGGGCATGCTGCCTATTATCTGGACAGGGGCATTTATTCTGTTAAGGCAGGAAGAGAGATGACACTGGGAATTGTAGATGTTAAAATGTCTTTTCCCTGTTTTCCAAATACTAGGTAGAATATCTGAGTAGGAGGAGCTCTGATGTTAAAGTCTGTCAATTCGGTGTTTCCTGTGTACCTGGGAGAGACAGGTGGTGGTGGGTGGAGCGTGTGAATGCTGATGGTACTGTAGGTGCAGGAAGGGGCTCTTTTTGTTAGAGATCACAGTACTGAGATATTAAAGACATGATTTTACCAGTGGTAAAAAAGTAAAATGTCATTTCACAAGAGATCTTTGACAGAAAAAAATTATAGTTAGCGTTTTTTGCTTGGTATGGCTCAGATACTTTGCCAGTAGTTTGTGTACAATAATTCATTTAATCCTCTCAGTAACTCTGTAGAATAAGGCCTATAATTATTCATATTTGCAGATGGCAAAACTGAGAGTCAGAGAGATTAAGGAAGATATGCAGGTTACCCACCCAGGAAGGGACGGAGCTGTGAGTGGAACCCAGATCCTTTGACTTCTGAGTAACAAACGACATTTAATATAAACAAAGCTGATGCAATTTTGATAGCCCCCTTCTTTTTTCCTGCAAAAATTCCTTTTTCCTAATTGATAGTCCATCTTTAGGTACCGTGCCTATTCCTAGCATCAATGTACAGTCTCTTTAAATGTCATCTGAAGGCTTTCATCATTGCTGTAAACTTCAGGCTTAACGTTAGTTCTGCGGCTAATCAGGTAAAAGCTTTTTAGCCTTTAGTCTCTCTATGGATGGCCTTAAAGGGTTGTCTTTCTGTCTGTCATTCTGCTTATTTCCTCCATGGTTAGAAAAGCAGGGTCTGTCTACGCTGTTCCTGATATCTGTAATGAGAAAAATACAAAGCACCCAACTTCTTCCTATGACTTTTTGTTTAAAAAGAATAAGGCTGAGCAAGGCGCGTTGTGCGCACTTCCCCTTACTTCGTCATCCCTGTTCCAAATCAGTGCACAAAGAGGTTCTAAGTCAGGATTCCTGAAGGGACTCTTGATAGGATTCGCAGGGGCTGTAAACTTTGATGAGAAAAAGCATCACATCTTTATGTTCACTACCCTGTAACTGAAATTCATCATTTCTTTAAGTTATGATGTGGGCCACAAACCACAGTGGCATTAGCAGTACCTATGACCGTTTGCAATAGAAATTATAGACATTAATATGGCATATGACAATGCTGGTAGATAAAATATTGTTTATATTGCCACTTTTGGGACATTATCGTGGTTAATAGACTTATGCTAGATCCTGTTATTGAATGTATTAATGAAGAAGCCTGTCTATTGCAATAAGCATTTACATATTTTGGTAACTGTATGTTAGTATCATTTGTTTCCTTTATAATCCTATGTAGTTAAATAATGCATTTTCAAACATCATTCTAAGAATGGGCTCCTTGAGTTTTACCGGGCTGATAGACAAGGTCATTACACAAAGAATGTTGAAAGCTCCTTGTTCAAGATCTAGGGTATTTTCCTAAGAAAATTTCTTAGAATAAAAGTCTATAAGGATGACATTTTCTTGTGAAGGTTTAGGATATTATAAAACATACAGAGCACAGCAAAAATCTTTTATAAAACATTTTAGAATACTGGCTTGTTGCCTGTAGCTCAAGTGGCTAAGGCACCAGCCACATACACCAGAGGTGGCAGGTTCGAATCCAGCCTGGGCCTGCCAAACAACAGTGACAACTACAACCAAAAATAGCCAGGTGTTGTGGTGGGTGCCTATATCGCCCCCTACTTGGGAGGCAGAGGCAGGAGAATGACTTGAGCCCAGGACTTGGAGGTTGCCCTGAGCTGTTATGCCACAGCACTCTACCCATAGCAACAACTTGAAGCTTTGTCTCAAAAAAAAAAAAAAAAACCAAAAAACTTAGAATACATTTATTTTTTCCACAAGTAGAAACACATAATAATGTTATAAATTTCATATCATTTTTCAATAATCTTTCCACAAGGCTGGTCTCTTTCAAGCAAAGAGAGCCATTGCCGGTTGGAGAATAATCTCAGAAATCACACAATTTGGATTGTGCATAAATGGTACACTTACCTGTCAAACTGGCTGACCACAAGTGTCACCACCATTGGAAATCAACCTGCTCACCATTTGCATTTTATAAGAGATCCACTTTGATCTCTGTCTTGATAAATCTTAGCTTTAAGTTGCACCTGTGTTATCCTTTCAGGCTTTGGTGTCATCTTTTAAAAGGTAAATTTTACTGAAGACAAACAGATGCTCAGAAAACGGCAGGTTGCCTAAGTCTGCCTTTCAAGGAATTTCCACAGCTGAGCACATGGCTAGACCCAGATCAGGAATTTAGTGTCACTGTTTTATTCAACTGTTTATAAATACTAGATAGATAGTATTTGATGTGTCTCTTTGGTGGAGCAGAGGTTGTACATGCAAAACTATATAGCATGGTGTTTTTTTTTTTTTTTTTGAGACAGAGCCTCAAACTGTCCCCATGGGTAGAGTGCCATTGCATCACAGCTCATAGCAACCTCCAACTCCTGGGCTTAAGCGAGTCTCCTGCCTCAGCCTCCCAAGTAGCTGGGACCACAGGTGCCTGCCACAATGCCCAGCTATTTTTTGGTTGCAGCCGTCATTGTTGTTTGGTGGGCCTGGGCTGGATTTGAACCTGCCACCGTAGGTGTATATGACTGGCGCCTTAGCCACTTGAGCCACAGGCACTGAGCCAGCACGGTGCATCTTGCCGAGCACTGATAGAGTCTACCTACGAGACCGTAGACCAGTAGGAGGAGCACAAGCTTTGGCTCAGCTTCACTCTTGTCATGACCGTGTCTGGACTGTGTAGTCTCTGACAAATGACATAGTCTCTCTGAAGGTCAGTGTTACTCATTGATATAAATAAAGATAAAATATAAAAATAAGGATACGAGGATGATGCTGTTCTTTGGCGATTAAGAATTGAAGACAAATAAATGTATGATTGTCTAGTATATATAATACATGAATGACAGTAACATTACTATCAGTAATGACAAACACATTATGAGACATTCATTTGTGGCCTAGAAGTTTGTTACAACAGAGGGTGTTGAGGGAGATGGTGCGTGAACTTAAACTTTCAAACACTCCTGGACATTTTGTATAGTACATTTAATTTACTCTGGAGTGACTGTGAGTTTTAAAATAAGAAATTAGGATTTAATTATTATCTTCTTGAATTTCTAGGAAAATGTAATCTCCATTTGCTAAATGAATTTTGTTTCTTCTTTTGAGGCGTTGGAGAAAATTTGACAGATCCATCTGTTATAAAACCTGAAGACAAACAGTAAGTTAATTTATGTGTTATCATTTAGAAAATTGCATTTAACACATTGCGAATGGTTTTTAAAATAATTTATAAACATATATGTTTCTTGCCTAGAACCTAGAAAGATTTTGAGGCAGTTTGTGTCAGTAGACCCAATATAATAAAATTTTCTAAAAAGCACAGATTAGGGCATGGGGATAAAAAGAAAATGTGGATATAAAATAGGATTAAATCTGGAGATAAGTTAATATATATAAATGGAAATTATAAAGACCAATGCAGTAGTTAGAATTGGGCTGTAAATTTGACTCTGAGTGTTCTAGGGGCCCAAACATAAGAAAAATAAGGGTAAATTGAGCCTCTACCACAGTGGTTCTCAACCTTCTGAATGCTGCGATCCTTTAATACGGTTCCTCATATTGTGGTCACCCCCAACCATAAAATTATTTTTGTTGCTACTTCATAACTGTAATTTTGCTACTGTTATGAATCGTAATGTAAATATCTGATATGCAGGAGACCCCCAAAGGGGTCACGACCCACAGGTTGAGAACCGCTGCTACAGGCTTTGACGTGAAAAGAATTAATGTCCTAGGAAAGGCTCAGCTTCTATCACTGGAGTCACTGCGTCTTATCCTGGGTGGTATCTTTCATCACATGCTTATGAAATGGAACTAAGGCATTTGTGTGCTTTTCATTAATGGCCAATCTCGGCAACACGAAAACAATGGGCTTAAATATGTATGAATTATCCGATTCACTGAATTAATTTGTAGCTGAAGTTTCAATTATATGAAGGGATGAGTCATCCACCTGTTTTTTGAATTCCCATGGACATGTTATTCCATTCGCAAGTTTTGGGGTAGACTCTGCAGTAGGGAATCTGAGGTTATGATTTTCTGTTAAAAGTGGAGCGGGAAGAAGTGATGGTGCTGATTAAGTGCTGATCAATATGGCAGGCAGTAGTGGTTCTCAGATGTGAGTGTGCGTTATGATCACCAGGAGAGCTTGTTAAGACACAGATTGCTTTGTCCTTTCCCCAGAGTTTCTGACTCAGAAGGTTTGGGGTAGAGCCAAATAATCTGCATTTCTAACAAGTTCCCAGGTGATTCTGATGCTGCTGGTTCGAAGACCACTCTTTGAGAACTACTAGCACACAGCATTTTTACTTTTTAGTTGCTGTAAGTGTCTATACTTGATTCCTGGGTGGTAGAGATTATATATAAACTACATAAGTGGATACTCCCAATGGAATACAACCTGAAATTTTTACTTTCCTTCCCCCCAGAACTCATATTATATTCACTGCATTGATGCTCTGTTCTTTTACTGAATGATTTAATCTAAAAATATGTAGGGTCTTTTCTTTTCTTATCTCCTTCTTTCCCTCCTTCCTCCTTCCCTCCCTCCTTCCCTCCCTCCCTCCCTTCCTTTCTTCCTTTCCTCCCTCTCTCCCCCATTCCCTCCCTCTCTGTCTTTTCTTTCTTTCTTTCTTTTTTTTTTTTTTTTGACAGAGTCTTACTCTGTCACTAAGCTGGAGTGCAGTGATGTGATCACAGCTCACTGCAACCTCCAACTCCCAGGCTCAAGCAATCCTCCCCTCCTGCCTCAGCCTCCTGAGTTACTGTAGTCATATGCCATCATGGCCAGCTAATTTTTAAAATTTTATTGTAGAAATGACAGTTTTGCTCAGGCAGGTCTTGAACTTCTGGCCTCAAGTGATCCTCCCACCTTGGCCTCCCAAAATGCTGGGATTATAGGCATGAGTTATGTCACCTAGCTCTTTAAATATGTAGAGTTCTATGCAAAGAGGTCCATCTACTAAAAGCATATTACATATTTAACTAGACTAGGTGAGCTAGACAAAGTAAAAGTGATCCAGATTACTCTCATACATTTAATTTCCAGGATATTTATTTGACTATGGAGTCCATGTTGTAACCCTTAGGGTATACATAAAGACATTATTTTCACTTTAGTAGAGCTAAGATGTATTTATCTAAAAATATTATTTCTTCAGGAGCCCTCTGTGCCCAAGAGTTAGTAACAAGAACTTTGTACGGCAAGTACTTTCTTTATAATTTCTCAGTAAAATTTTTTTTGCATATATAATGAACTGACTTACGTATACTGTCTATCATTTAGTAAATTTTGACCTTGGCATATGTCATTTAATATGACCTGAATAGTCCATCTTTTAGAATTTTAAAATTCTATTATCCCACTTGACAGTTGAGTATTTAATTGTATTCTATAGGCCAGTGGGCCTCATTTTCTATTAAGGTCACCTGGGGAACTTAAAAAAAAGGATGCCTAGGATTGGCATCAAATTAGAATCTCTTAAGATGAGGCCCTGATGCCTGTATTTTTTAAAAGTTCCCCATGTGATTTTGTGGGCAACCAGGGTTAAGCACCTCTGTTTTATGACAACTTAACTTTTTATGACTTGAGGATAATGATAGGATAGGATGGCATCATCGTGGCCAGCCTGGGTTTGTAGGGTTACCCAAGTTGGGTGCAGCTGGTCTTCATGGTCAAGATAACAAGGAATGTTATTTTTTCATGACAGTGGAGAATTAGTTTGATGAGGCTCAGAATTTTGAATGAGGAAGTGCAGACCAACAACACCAGCATCATCTGGGACATTGTCAGACTCTCAGAACCCTCCCCAGACCTACCGAACCTGAATCTGAATTTTTACAAGATCATTTGATAGATAGATACAAGGTCATTTGATAGAAATTAAAGTTTGAGAAGCACCGATTGAAGCAAGTGTTTATTTTAGCCTTGGCAGCAATGTAAGTGAGCATTTTCCCAGTCCCAGTTCACAAAGGAGGAAACTGAAGCTCAGGGAGGATGGTAACTTGCTTTTGAGGAGAAGGGGGTCAATGAAAGGGAATGATCCTCTATCAAAAAAGTTGTTTTTGTGGTGTAAATCCTAATATTGTTTCTAATTCCTACTGTCACTTAACTCTCCCCAAACTTCTGCCTTGGTTATCTGTAGGTTGGGATTCTATCTTTTTAGTTTACTGCCTTGATGGTTTGGGCATTTGACAACGATGAGACGAGGATGATCTGTTCTTTAGTAAATCTATGTATAGATGGCACTAATTAGCGTTTCCCCGCATGTGGAACCAAGCTACCACCTGCTTTTCCTGTGTTGTGAAAAATCTGGAAAACAGCTACTTGTTTTTTTTTTTTTTTTAAACTTGGTTATCTGAGCCTGCAAGGCTGCAGGCATGCTGTGTGCCATAGGGTGTGAATGCAAATGAACCTCCCTCCAACCCTCCTTCACTCTCCCCTGCACAGGGAGTAGTCAGGACCCCAATATATACATTTGGTGGTAATTTTGATTTGCTTGTCTTAATTTTGACAAAGCTCACAGAGGGAAATGACTTCAGTGCTTTTACCTGAGAAGCAATGCTTCATCTCTAAGTTGGGAGGGAGGAAATGGCAGGTATAGAATGCAAATGGATGAAGTATTCCAAGAGGGTCATGCTGGAGAGACTATAAAAAGGATGTCTTCAATTTAAATGACTAAAATGATGCCTTCATTTTCACTTTACCAGCGCTGTAGAATTTCTGGCCTAGATACCAAGTGAGTCTACTTTTTTGTCACCTTCAGTTTCACCTTATTGAAGTGGTTCCTTACCAGATGGACTGAGAGAGAGGAATAGTTAACAGGAGGCAGCTTATGCAGCCGGGTAAATACCACCAGAACTGTACTCTGTAAGAGCGATTGAGTGACCGGGAAAGTTAATCCTGGGTGTCTGTTCACTTTGTCTTCCCAAGAGATTTCCTCCACCTACTCGCCTCAGAGCAGAGAGGCAATCTGAGATCAAACTGACATCAGCCCTCATTCGGAGCTTGGCACATCTTCAGAGCAGCTACTGTTATTCTGCCAAAAGGAAGTGGAAATTGAGATAAATGTTTCAATCCTTGGATGGAAAAAAGTCCATTTTTACACCACATCCCTTTTGAGAAACCGCATTCCTTAGAAGCAAAGTTTATTGTTTCCTTTTGTGACAGTTTGCTTTTCTTTTTTTTTCTTATGACGTGGTATTTAAGAGCAGTAATTGAGTTCAGATTTTAAAAATGTGCTGTTTCCACTCTGCATGTCATTAAAATAAAATATTAGCTTTCATAACGTTTCTTGGGAAGTGTCTCTGGTGTGCTCTGTTTTGTGGTGTGCGGAGTGTCAAAATCTGAAGAATAATGGTTGTTGGTGATATGATAACGCATGAACATTGATCTTAGAATCTGCTAGGGACCTATGATAATTCTAGAGTATTCAAAGTCTGCCCCATATATGCTAATTCTATCTGTAATTTTGTCACCTACACCAAGCATGTGTAGTTTACTTCCACAACCACACGGTCTAATGGTCCTGCCTTTCTAGGAAGAGGCCAGGATAGCAGTTTGCAGGTAGAAAGTGGCCTTGGAAAGCGCCATGGCCACTGGATCTAGGGGTTAGTCTGGTTATTTGTTTTTGACTACGGTTATTTTAAGAAAAGTATTTGGGTTGGAAACAATATATATGCATCTTTTCAGAAGGTGTGTTCCAATAGCAAATTTCTCTTACTTTTATACCTTACCTTTGGGATATTCCAGGAGAACTTTTGCTAATGAATGTTATTCTCCCAACCCGTATGCATTATTAGAAAGGGTTGCTCTGTGTTTTGTTTTAATGTGGTACATAGAAAATTCACTCTTCTATCAGATTAGTGTTCAAATGCGTTTCACAGTAGGTCTTGGAGTTGGGTACAAAGATTTAAGTGCATTTGAATTTTAAATTTGCAAACCTAACGTTGTTGCTTCCCCCAAGTGCTCTGTTCTTTGTTGGCTCCTTCAAGTTTACTGGGTTACTAAGGGATACTGTTCGGTATCTCAGAGAATCCTGGTCGAGCTCCTTTTTCTTAAGTTGTGATCTAATTGATATTCTGATATTTTCTCTAGATCAAGAGGAATGGTGTTTGGACCAGCCAATTTGGGGGGAGACGCAATTAGAAACTTCATTGCAAAACATCGTTGCAACTCCTGCTGCCGGAAGCTCAAACTCCCGGGTATGCCGCCAACAAGTCTATTTTTCTCCAAGTAAATCTCACATAGAACAACATCCATTGTAACCTGGGATAAAGTAGAAAATCTTAATCACGTTTTTATCTCATTCTCAGTCATTCTCAGAGCCTGACTTTCTGACTGCAAATTTTTCAAGTCTCTAAAGGGATTAAAAGGACAGGGCTTTACTTTAGGTTCTGCCAAAATGTGATAAAACAACCTGGGTCCCAATACTTGTCACAGTCACTCCAAGTGAAAAGTTCCACTGACTTAAATGGGGTGAAATCTGAGTGAGGCGGGTCTCTGCCCCTCTGCTTTGGAGCCCGCCAGTGGCTCCATCCTGGTGCCCACGACATTCCTGTTCTAGTCTAATCTACCCGCTGGACACTCGGGAGGGTGCAGTATAGAGGGAAATAAAATAGTGCTTTTCACTGTAAAAACCTGCTGCTTTAAACATATATTGCAGTTTAAAAAAATTCTCTTTAAAAAAATTTGTATTTATTTCTTATTTCAGAATGTTAGGGGTTGCAGCGGATCTGTTGATACGCTTTGTTTTTGTACAGATTGACTCAAAGGCACACACGTAAGAGTGCCCTTCACTCAGATAGTGTACGCTGAAACACGTATCGCAATTTTGAAAAAGAAAAATCTGATTCAATGTAGTAAACTTCCCTAATATTTTCCTAGGAAAATATTCTTAATATAAAGCAAGCAGCTGGAAGCCTGTGCCCTCCAAACTGGCAGTCCCAGCTCTGTGGCATTCTCTTCCTTTGTCTCAGAAGGGAGGCTTTGCGTCTGCCTCAGCTCACTGACTACTTTTCTTAGCTCACCGCAAACTTGTCCTTACAGTGGGATTTCACATATTTTAAGTTGAGTAGCCTTTCCTGCCTTCCAATAAACGATCATACCCTGAGCTGGAAATCAGTAAAAGAACATCATCTATCGTAAGCTTGGATGGAGCAGGTGTACACTTATAATCCAAAAGGGCAATTTCTAGGCTTGTTGGAGTTAGAGATGGGGGAGTTCTTATGGGAAAGACAGCAAAAAAACTGGGGTTTGGAGCAGGCATCCAGTTTCCGTGGGAGCATAGCATGTCTTCAGAGGTAGTGGGGGTGACCATGGGAGATGGGGGGATCAAAAGGAAGCAGTCAGGGAGGCAAAGGCCATGAATCTTATAACTGCTGGGACTTGCCCTACAGATCATGCCCCAGGCTTGGGCGAAGAGACCAGTGCAAAGCTAAGCTGCCCACTGGCCTCTTCTCTGGTCAGAAGGAGCCCAGGAAGGGACTGGGCTGGGCTGGGCTGGGAGGAGGGGCCTCCAGGTGAGGGCCCTGCAGGAGACAGGAGCTGACAGATATCTGAGTTATCCCTTGATGGCAGTTGGAGTCTGATCATTAACTTCATATTCTCAGGCACTGGCCTCTTCCAGGTCTGATTCATTGTACCCTGGACGGGGCAGCCTCCATCCTTGAAGATGTAGAGACTACATCTGACCAGCCAGGACACAAGGAGACTTGAGACATAACTCACTGCTTCCAATCCTTAAGCCCAGTTAACTGTTCTGTATGATTAAGGTTCAGATAATATCTATTTATATTATATATTGCTGGGTTTAGAGTAATTTAGTAATTTCTCCATTGCTACTCCTAATTCATGTTTCCTTTCAAAACCTTAAGTTTTAACCTAACATGTAAATAGATATAACCAATCCCCTCATTTACTCCCTCTGGAATGCAGGATTAGAGGTGAGCCTTCTTTTTTGTTTGATTATGCTTTACTTTTTTTTGTTTGTTTATAGAGATGCAGTTTAGTGGAAAGGGCATGGGATCTAGAGCCAGACAGATTGAACTGTCTGAACTCACATTCCAGTTTTGCTTTTTTTTTGAAACAGTCTTATTATGTCGCCCTTGGTAGAGTGCTGTGGCATCACAGCTCACAGCAACCTCAAACTCTTGGGCTCAAGTGATCCTCCTGCCTCAGCCTCCCAAGTAGCTAGAGTATAGGCACCCACCACAATGCCAGTTATTTTCTGTTGTTGTTATTGTAGTTGTCACTGTTGTTTGGCAGGCTCAGGCTGGGTTTGAACTCTCCAGTGCCAGTGTATGTGTCTGGTGCCCTAGCTGCTGAGCTACAGGCACCGAGCCCCAGTTCTGCTTTTTGCTAGCTATGTGACCTTGGGCTTCAGTTCCTCATCTGTAAACCGGACATAAAAGCATCTGTCTCATAAAGCTGATGTGAAGAATGAATTAAGTGATATGTGTATGTGTTGAATAAATGTTGCTTCTTAGTAAAATATAACATGGGCTGGGTATAATAGCTCATGCCTGTTATCCTGGCACTCTGGGAGGCCAAGGCTGGAGGATCCCTTGTGCTCAGGAGTTTGAGACTAGCCTGAGCAAGAGCAAGATCCCATCTCTACAGAAAATGGAAAAATTAGCTGGGCATTGATGTGGGCACCTGTAGTCCCAGCTATTTGAGAGGCTGAGGCAGGAGGATCGCTTGAACCCAGGGGTTTGAGGTTCCTGTGAGCTATGATCACGCCTCTGCCCTCTAGCCTGGGAGACAGAGCAAGACCCTGTCTCAAAAAACAAACAAACAAAATATATATTATATCTATATATACACATACACATATATATATAGAGGGTGTATATATATAAAATATGTATTAGCTTATGTCTAGATAATTCCCATTTAACATTAAAATTAATATAAAAAATACATATTTAAGTTATCAAATGTATTGTCAGGCCCGAGGGCCTCTTCCATCCTTGTCAAGGGGAGTGATAATCTTCTCTCTTTTCATACAACATGAAGTTAACAAATGTAATCAGTATAGCATAAAAAGTGTACAGATATATATATTTTTTTTTTACTAAAACATAACTTTGTACATTGGTGCATTTGTGGGGTGCAGTGTACTGCTTTGATATACAATGTAGAATGCTTATGTTGAACTAAGTAAACACATCCATCACAGTTATACTCATTTCTTAATAGTTTTGAAATGTACCATTGCATCTTGCATATTAGGTGATGTCCCCCCAAATTCTCTCCTTCCTCCTCCCCCCCTTCCCTTCTACTTTCTGAACTATAGTTATGTTTTGCCATTTGTATGAGTGTGTAGTTGGTTATATATTAATTTCCTAGTAGTATTGAGTACATTAGATACTTTCCCCCCCATTCTTGAGATACTTTCCTAAGAAGAACATGTTCCAGCTCCATCCAGGTAAACATAAAAGATGTGAAGTCTCCATCTTTTTTATGGCTGCATAGTATTCCATGGTGTACATATACCACAATTTGTTAATCCATTCATGGGTTGATGGGCACTTGGGCTGTTTCCATGTCTTGGCTATTATGAATTGGGCTGCAATAAACATTCTGGTGCAAATGTCTTTGTGTTGACATTTAAAGCCCATTTTCCTCTGTACCTTTTCCCCCAAAGTTGCCCCTATTATTAATGTTTTCTTTTGATTTCTTTTTTCAAATGGAAGAAAGCCTTAGGAAGCATAGGATCTGACAATTGGATGAAGCTTTTTGGGCAGTAGCAAACCTGAGGTATAGCTTTTGTTGCAGAAAACTGACCACTGAGGTCCAGAGCCGCCATTTCAGCTGACCTCCCGCCCTGCCTATCTCTCAGCGGTGGAAATTTCCTGTCTCCAGTTTGCTTAACTCTAGCCAGCTGTGCCTTATAGGGCATTGGATATGGAATCAAGTAATGGCTTTTCCTTCCCTGCCCTGTAAACAGTGCCTAAAATGTGCAAGGGAGTCTCCCTCGGGGCGTTGTGGTGGGAGGGGCTTAGTTTGGACAGGGTTTGAGTCGCAAGTGTGCATGGCTTGAGGAAGAAGCGACCTCTGAGAACATTTGGCAAAACCTAAAGTCTAGTCCATTTGCACAAATGGTAGGTTCTTAGGGATCCACTCTTACCTTCCTACTTGTCTTCCTTGCAGATTTAAAAAGAAATGACTATTCCCCCAGGAGAATAAATTCCACTTATGGACTCAAGGTCAAAATAGAACCAACTAAGGAGCATCTGGCAAGGGAAAGGGGTGGAAATTCCCCGGAAGATCGCACACAACTGTAAAGGGGGAGAGGCCAGACGGCTGACCTTCCCTGCCAGGAGCTCCCCATGACATCAGCTGGTTGATGTAACAGTGACTGATGACATCAGAGCCTCTCTCAGGATGCCTTATACCGGGGGATCCTTGGGACACACCTGCTGAGCCTCTCATCTGCCCCTGACCCAAGGCCTCATTGGTGGGTGAGGACTGGGTTCTCCTCCACGGGGAGACACTGGGACGAGGCAGCGGGGAAGTCTGTTCCTTTACACATCGTTGCTTTAGCTGGTCGCGTGGAGCCCTTGAAGCAGAATGCTGCACACTAAAGAACCAGGGGGATGAGTTTAATTTATTTTCTCACTGTCTGTGCAGACAGCACCCCTCCACTGCTATTCATCACCTCGCCCACAGATGTATTTATGTCTATATATATGTACATAAAAAAGTTGTGCGATTTCCTCCTCTCTCCTCTCCACAGCATAGGACTTTGAATAGCAACAATAGGGAAAACAATGGAATGAGGATGTATTTGCACAGATTGGAGCACACCCGGCACAAGCTAACCAGTAAAAAGTTAGCATCCTGGTGGAATCTAGATGGTCTGAGGTATTGTCAGTGAATCATATGTTGCCTATTTCCAGTTTCTCTGAAAGAAAGGAAAAGAAAATCTAAAACAAATGCCCTTGCATCTCCCCTCCCCTCCTCCTCCTCCCTCCCCTCTCCCATCCCTCTCTCTCTCTCCCTTCCCTTCCTCTGTCTCTCTCTCCTTTTTCTTTATTTCTCTTTCTTTTTCACCAAGATAACAAGGATATGAAAAACTGGAAATTATTAGGAAAAGGTTTCCCTTCCTTTAAACTCAGGGAGATTATCCGTTAAAGTTGACTAAGTCAACCTTTAAAATGCCATTCATGTTTCCAAAGTTGTATATATATAATTGCAGGTGAAATCACCCTGTGTCAGGAAAACATGATTTCAGACCAAAACCATGCTTCACAGGTGCTTGTCTCCTTCGAGGTGCAGAGCTGCCACGCCTCTAAGGGCTCTCTCTGTATGTTAAAGTCCTGCCTGAGAAAATTTCAGTTTCTGAGACTTGAGGTGAAGAACTCCTGGAGGCTACTCTGAGTGGCATGTTTGGGGGTGCAGTGACCTCCCTTGCATGCTGCACGGGTTACCCTACCTCAGACCAAGCATGTGCTTTCCACACAAGGAGAGATGGAGGGCTGGGAATGCCCCCCAGTCTCCTCTTGCATCTCCCTTTTACTTTTTTTTTTTTTTTTTAGAGACAGAGTCTCACTTGTTGCCCTGAGTAGCTTGGTAGAGTGCCATGGCATCACACAGCTCACAGCAACCTCCAACTCTTGGGCTTTAGGTGATTCTCTTGCCTCAGCCTCCTGAGTAGCTGGGACTATAGGCACCCACCACAATGCCTGGCTATTTTTTTGTTGCAGTTTGGCCGGGGCAGGTTTGAACCCACCACCCTCGGTATATGGGGCTGGCTCCCTACTCACTGAGCCACAGGTGCCATCCTGCATCTCCTTTTTAAATATAAGATTTTCCAATCTACCATCCGCAAACTTGGGCTTGAAAATTTTCAACTTATTATCTTGCTTGGCCCTTCCATGAGCTGACTTGCTGCTAAACCTACCCTTATCATCTACACTCCTGAATTCTTTGGTTATGTTTCAGAAGAAATGTCACATAGAGCGATGGAAAACCCCTAAAATTAGTTTTGCCAATGTTTGTGTCTGATTCTTAAGTGTGAGTTACCCAAGGGCTAATTTCTGCCCCTTTACTTTGGTCATGAGGGTGGTGAGAAGCTGGAAATTTGGGTGATTTTTTTGAATGGCAGTGAGGATAAAATTGCTAATACTTTTGGGGGGCTTAACAGCTTTATCTTTCTCTGTGAATCAGTGAGGAATCAATTGGTACTCGGTTTAGGGCCACATTCAACTATGGAAAGAGGCCGAGTTTGCCTGTCCAGGGGTCGATGTAAAGGCATCAATGTGTTGGTTGAATATTTGTTACCTGAAGTGAAACTTGAAAGCAAATACATTTTGATTTCAAATTTCTGTGCTGTCCTGTTTTATTTTAAGAAAAAATTAACAGAATGACATTTTGAAAAGACAAACTCCTGGTCGAAAGTCACTGTGGGATTGCTTGCGTCCAAATACTGATGTGATACTCTGAGTGATTTGTGACCACACAAGGGTGGAGTAGTCCCTTCGTCAGTTCTATTCAGTCGGTGTTTATGAAGTGCCTGCTCCGTACTTTGTCAGTGATGATGATACAGTGGCCAACCTAGCATTTCTTTGCCCTCAAAAAGCTTTGTCTCATGTTTCTTTTTACTTGCCTTTTTTTTTTTTTGTTCCAAGTTTGGATTTCTAGTTAATGCTAAAAAGAAAATTTGACTTCTGGCCACATATCAAATCCAGAGATGTGTCCCACACCCTCTCTACCAGTGGGCAGTAGGTTTGGACTGGGATAAGAGAATTAAAGGCAAATGAGAAGACATGGCTAGGACTGATTTTAGGAACCACTGAGGAAAAACAGACTCCATAATCCTCATCTGAGTACAAAGCGCAGATCATAGATGAGATCTGCCTCTGCGGACCAGAGAAGCAGCCAGGTTCCAGAGTTCCTCTCCTGAAGGCATCCAGGGCATAGGAGTTTCTTTCCACGAGGGTGTTGGGTCCTGGAAAGACATCTGCCCCATGCTGTTCTTAAAGCTTGTCCTTCCAGGGAAAGGAATCAGATACAGTTTGAGTGTTTCTTACCCCGTTATTATTTTCTATAGCTTTGCAAAGCAAGTACCAGGGTGGGGGTGGGGTGGCTAAGACTTTCCAATTTAGTTCATGGAAAGATCTTGAAAAAGTTGTTTTGGGGGTTGTTGTTGTTTGTTAGTTACTGTTTACTGTTTGAGACAGATGGCTCAAGATGCCCTGTTATGTTTAGTTGTCCTTGTCAGTCACCAACATCTAGCACAAAGCATCGCACCTAATATGCTTTCAATAATATTTGTTGAAAGAAATAATAAACTTTCAAATGCTCCTGGATTTCATTCACTAGGTAATAAATCAGATTTGCATTTTTAATCTAGAAGGAAATGATCACCAATTCCTTAAGACCCAGCACAATTCTTTTGATCTCTCTCTGTTTTAATTTTCTAGGAAATAGCTCTTAACAACCTACACCTGGTCTATTGAATTCTCACCCAGTTCACCTTATCACATCGGTGATAACGCCAGAGTGCAGTCCTTCACTGGTGACTATTGAAATGAGATGATAACTTCCCAGAAACGGCCTAGAAATAATCATCACTTTATTACCCTTTGAAAAGAAGATTGATAGAAAAGTCATTTGAAAGATGGTTCATTACCATGCCCTGGTATGATTTCTTTACTCACATCTCTCCAAAGCATGAGAAAGGGAGGATTATTCTCTGAGGTCAGAATCTGAAGGCTCTGTGTTTGCCTCTTTGAAGTCTTGGTATTTAATTTTCTGTAGTCATTTCTTGGGCAATTTTCTAAGAAACTAGTTGAAGCTAATTTATCATAAGTTAAAGTCAAATGACAGAAAAGATTTTCCCCCTTTAACAGCATTTTATTCCACAGAGGTTAGCTTCTGAAGGAAAATGAGACTTAAATAGCATTTCAAATCTCCAGCCACATGGGTGGGTACACAGAATAGAAAGGATTCTGGAAGCCACACTGATTTTTTTTTTTTAATTTAGCATGGTTATTATTTTGTGACTTTTCTTTCCAGATCATGATGTACAGATAAAATATTACGGTTTTGTGAAACACTCTCTTAAAAAATAATTAGATAAGTTGCTTAATTTTTCAAAGAAAGACTTTTAGTTCTCAAGAGATAGCAAACCTTGGTCTCTATCATTCTCCGGCTTTTCAAATAACTTTATATAATTCATTTAACCTTTCTGTTAACCCCTAATACTGAAACGGAGATGAAGATACTTACCTTTTCAAATGAAGGTGAATGACAATGAGAGAACACTTATAAACTTCTTTGAGCGTCTCATTTAAAAGACTTCTTGGGAGCGTGGGCTACAATTCACCAAATAATGAGGGGTTTTCATTTTTGATATTACAAGATCATTATTTAATGATTTAATGTTTACGGAGGATGCTTGGTGGGCTTGTTTCAGTATAAACACAAAAGTGATTTCTGCTGTTTCTCCCTTTCTAAGGGGAAAAAGTTCATTGCTTCCTTTTTGTTTTACAACTTAATTAAATAGTTCAAAATCAGGAAACTCACCATTTCACAGTCTGTCATTTATTTTGCTTTTTGATGGATTTAGGTTTATCCAGGTAATAATTTTTTTTTTTTTTTTTTTTGCTATCCTCTGCCCAAAGGAAGTCTTCCAGGAGAAGACGTAAAGCCCAAGAGAGAAGATGTGCCATTATGGGTGACATTTTTGAGCATGAAAAGAGAGTAGATTTAAAAATCTTGATGCTTGTAAAACAAAGTTTTTAATTAACAATGATTTACATTTTATCAGCATAGGGCTTAGTAATAACATTCTTATCTTTACCTTGCTAGTTTTTTTAGCAACTAACTTCCTTTAGAATTCTCATCTGCTCCTAGTGGATTTTTTCCATTGTGAACTTTTAGAAATTCCATCTTCTGAGGCCAGGCATGATGGTTTATACCTGAACCAGCACTTTGGGAGGCTCAAGTGGGAGGATTACTTGAGTCTGGAGTTTGAGACCAGCCTCGTCAACACAGTGAGACCCTCTATCTACAAAAAATAAAAATTAGCTAGGCATGGTAGGGCATGCCTGTAGTTGCAACTACCTGGGAGGCTGAGGCAGGAGGATTGCTTGAATACAGGAATTTGAGGTTGCAGTAAGTGGTGACTGTGACATTGTACTCTAACCTGGGTGATGAAGTGAGAACTTGTCTCAGAATTTTTTTTTTTCATCAGCTAAATTAGTCACAAAGTCTTCACAAATATTATGGTAGAGACTCTTGTGCTAATGACTATCTGGAAGTGGCTATAACAATCACC